CAAATATTCTATTTGCTTATCCTTGTCTTCTACCGTTCCACGAAGCTCTTCAACTTCTTTGTTGAGATATGTAAGACTCTTATCCATACCTTTGATCGAACTTTCCACAGCACGTGCGTCTTCTTTCATCTTGTCGATAGTTGATTCGACGTTCCCCAATCTGCTTGTTAAATCCTTCAACGTTGCCTCAATTGCATCGAGTTTCTCCAGTTTCTTAAGTTCCCCAAGAATTTTATCGAGTTTTTCACTAACGTTACCGGCCATGTTTAAGGCTTGGAGAACCTCGTCTTCCTCGGCTAAACTCTTTGAACGTTTTTCCTGCGGAGAACTTGACTCAGACGAATCAGAATTGCTTCTCTCTGATATTGTACGTTTCAAAGAAGAAAGGATGGTTTCCATATACAAGAAATGCAGGTTGCCAGAAAATTAACTCAATAACCAGAGCGGAGCTCTCGAAAACACGTCTACTCGCTACGCATGCCAGCCCCAGTCTCTTAGCTGTAATGCATTTTTTTTTTCTTCCGAAAATAAGAATCTAGTAAGATCCTTGCAATGGGGATTATTCACCGATGTTTGCTTTCTCGTGTGATGCTTCTTCCAGTGCGATATTGATGCCACAATTAAATTTATAGTCCCTGCATGTTGAGATAACTACCCCGCTACTTCACAAAGTCTTGGAATACAGAATAAATATTGCAAGCAATGGTTTTACCCATACGAGCAAGCTCTTTTGGGGTGGGAGTAAAGAAAACGCCCTCCATTTCCAACCCCACCTCCATCCCCCAAGCTGGAGGTGATTCCCTTCACTTCCTTCGATTATCCTCACTCTAACTTTGTATTTCTTTCCATCAGGCATACGGGCGGATGTTTATCGGGAAGATTCTACACAAGCACGTACTGGCTCGTAACTACTTTTCACGCCTACCCGGCATGGCGGAACACATGAAGAAGAAAATTTCTGGACAAAGTCGAGGATTAGCTGCTAACAACGGGGCGAGAACAGCAGCACTTAAGGCGTAATCTTCGCTGTTGAACTACAGATCATAATTCGTCATTGTTTAGCCCTTCGTAACATGTAGGTTCTAATCTTCATGACCAAGTGACAAATCATTCTGATGCGTATTTTGATTTTTTTCTTTAAAGATGTACATATATAGGTATTATTTCTTTAACTGTATAAGAACAACTTTTTTTTCTTGTTCGTTATTGTAAATTAATGAATAAAACTGAAACAGTAGCCCATTCTTCGATCTGCGTAGTTAATGTATCCAGGTCTTGACCGCCGTCAAACAAAAGACATGTAAAATAAAAACAACAACAACAAATTATACTTTACTAACATGCGCTGGAGACTGTTAACAGAAGGAAGTCCTTAGGCCACGTTGCCATGGTAACAAAATTTCTGGAACTCAATAAACCGTGGACCTCCAAATATGGCAGAAAACAAATGAAAAAAATGACAGTGCATAATTGCTCTCAAGAATGGAACGGTAGCTCCTCTGTCAAGAAAGATTGTTGAGATGCAGACATTTTGCAACCATGGTAACCTGACGTCACACTTCCTTCTATTGTCTGACCTTCTTGGAGTTGATCAGTTTAAAAATTCAGTTTAATCTACTATCTTTTCAAGCGTTAAGTAAGAGAATGCTATTCGCTTCTTTCTAAACCTGATATATTTTTCTTCTTACATTTCACGACACAATTCAATTTTTTTACGGTTGCATTACGGTACAATGTAGGGCCTGGATTTGATGTCAAAAACGTTTGGTGGAGAATATTAGATAATGGCTGAAATTCAGCTCCATGTTCACATTTCAAGAAAACGTTTTTTAGCAACGAAACAGCCTTCATAAAAGTGACGGAGAAACCAAAGTCATTTTTCGTAAAAAGTAAAATAATGAGTTAGAGAAACGGCCTCTACTTGAATTGACGAGACAACACTAATAATTTGGAACATGAATCTCGTCATATATATCGAGATATTTGCATGTGTTTCCTGTAGGTCGTATTATTCCAACATGCTTCTTGGCTCAAGATCATAAACGATCCATTTTCCATTAAACAGTTTGATTGATCGACCGATTGATTGATCTGAGAGGTCCGGCACGAAGACATTTGATTCAGCTCTAGCCTGAGCTCTATTTGTTATTTTGCCTCTTAAATACGACACTCCAAAAAGATGTTTGTTATTATCAGCTTGTAAAATTGGGGCCAGTAATCTCAGGTTTCCTTAGCTTCTGTAGAGTAGACTTTGAAGAAAAATGAGAGTATACGAACTTAAACTGACAAAACACCTTGATACTGGACGCTTTCCCAGTGAAACTTAGAAGATCATTAATATTTGTATGGGCGAAAATCAACATGTGACCTTTAGTAGACTTCGGAGACAAAAATTAATAAAGACATAAAATTCATCTTGTCTTTATTCGTTTGCAGCCTCCCTTTCCTTGTGTAGTTAAACAAGAGATTAAAATGACATTGAAATTAAGAAACAACAAAAAAAAAAGCGAAAGTGAGAACCAACTCCAGGTTTAAGTAAACGAACTTCGTTAACAGGAAACGCTTTTTTCCTATCTCACAGCTGAATACATCTACCTATCTCTATCTTTTGAACTTGTTTCCGTGTTTCTTGAGTAAGCTTGAAGAGGTGTTTCTTAACCTCAGTTAAACCTTTAGTTGTGAAAGACTGAAACTACACTTATGATGTTTCCTGCAATTATCGTGCGTCCAACTTCCATTTTTGATTGATCCCAACACCAAAGAGGTCGGTGCAAAAATCTTTTAGCAAAGGACTTAACTGACCAGCAAAGGTTTGCTAGTAAAAACTAAAGTGTGTCCAGCTGTTCTGACAGCTTGTAAACACCATCCTTTGTCCCTTAACAAAAAATATTTGAGATATGGTGGAACTTTTGATTTCTGAACCGACCTAAAAACAAATTTATTTATATGATATATACCCCTGAATAAAGTCAAAATGTCCAACACCGAAATGAATAGAATCCATATTAGCGAGTTGAGGACCGGAAGCAAGATTGAGAGACTCAACTTGTGTTAATTTCTGGCAAAACGTTTGGAACAATAGTGTTTGTTTTAGTTCCTTAATCTGGGAACCAGCGCCTACTTCTCCTTCCGGTCCTTTATTCTGATTGAACTTAGTATGTAAACACCCTATTCCTAAAACAAGATAAATCGAAAACATTGATCATACAGAAGTCCAAGTTGTTTGCCTAACCTCAACACAAATTAGTTGTTTTCATTCAACCCCTGTTCAGTAAGAGGCGGCTCCTTTTGACTCCTGTTTTGTCACAACCCAAAACCTATTATTATCATTGTTATTATTATTATTCTTATCATTACGATACTAAGTTTACGTGTTTTTTGTGTTCTATACTTTTAAATTTTTTTTTGAATTTCTTCCCCCAAATTTTATCTCTTATCATCGACTGAATAAATATGATCCCCTTAGTGAAAACATTCCCCAATAGAAATACTTGAAAGGTAAATGATTAAATATTTGAAACTTAAAATGATTAGTATAGGTAATAGCATGATTTGTACGTGATATTTGGCATAAATGCCACGAGTGATATTTCGAAATTGTTATACGTAATTTCTACCACCACATGAGAAATTTCTGCAATTTGATTGGCTTAGAGCAATGGTATTTCAGCTTAATTTGAAATGCCTACATGTGAAAAATACAAAACTTTTGCGGGTAGCAGTATAAACAAATAATAGCATGATTTGTACGTGTTATTTGGCATAAATACCACTCGTGATATTTCAAAATTGTCTCAAATTTCACTCGCCTAACAGCTCGTTAAATTACGTATAACAATTTGAAATATCATTCGTGGTATTTATACCAAATATCACTACAAATCATGCTATTATTTGTTTATACTACTGCCCTCAAAAGGTTTGTAATTTTCACATGTAGTTATTTCAAATTAAGCTGAAATACCACTGCTCTAAGCCAATCAAATTGCAGAAATTTCTCATGCAGTAGTATAAACAGGTTAAAAGGAAGGGACAATATGTGTAGACACTTAAACTTCAACTCCTTTAATTCTATGACTTGAGGTTGAATCGGCACTTCTGCCACATCTCGCTGTGACATTTTTGTCATCCTTCGTTTGAAGTGGTCCTCAATGCGACTATAGCTCTACCCAACAACCCGACGTCATGTTTGTTTGCTCAAGAGACCTTTGTCCTAAGCACATGGTAAAATAGTGAACACAAAATAAATAAAGATTCAAATAGAAAATAAAATGTTCGAAAATGTGTTTCTACACGTGCCTTATGGGGTGTTTCATCTTTTTTCCTCGTTTAGTACATACAGGACAGTATGTCATGAATTCGTTTTAGCGACTATTAACTTAATGTTTAAGACTAATGGAATACTAATATCAAAGTGCATGTGACCCATTATTAATTACTATTTCTAGTTTGTTTCGTAAAAAGTTTCTACTTCGTCTGGTGTGAAGCAGTGTGATCCTGCTAGGAATGTTTTGGCGAAGGTGCTGTCATAGCTGTACCCGCTCGGTGGGCTGTAAGTATAGCCAAGGCTGCTGCAAGAATTGTTATTGGATGACGCGTAGTTGGAAATGCGAATGTCATGTGCTCCTCCAAATGTAGGCCCATACCATGAATAACACATTATGGAATGTGCTCCGTTCCAACTATATTCCCCTGTCGGAGGCAGTTTAACAGGTGCCCATCCTGGTTTATTCACCAGTGAAAACAAAAATGCTTTGGAGTCCAACTGGTAAGTATTGCTGGAATCTATCAGGAGAGAGAAATTAAAGACGGACCCAAGTGTAATTAGCGCCGTTTGTTCTTATACTCACTTTAGAAATTAAAACCAGTCGTCAAGTGGATTGACACTGAAGACAAACCTGGAAAAAAAATTTCTCATTTGAAGCGAATGTGAGTCTGATATGTTTTATTTATTTTACTTTGTAGTTGTAGGACAAGTACAAAAATTTTGAAAATAAAAAAATAAAAAAATAACGAACAACAAAAAATGCCAAAAAACAAACAAACAAACAAAACTAAACAAATAACCTTTAGAGCAAATCTGTCATGATCAAGTCTTTTAACGGAAAGAATTTCAATTAATTGATCTACAAAAAACTATTCATTACACAAAACATTTTTTGTTTTCATAAGGATTACATTTTAACTGAACAAATTAACGGACAGACTATTAAATGGTAAATTTACTCACCGACAGACGCAGTTTACACACTGTTTTGCCACGAAGTTTGACGTTTTCGTTTGAACTGACGCCTGAACTTTAAACACAGTTTTTCTTATCAAAGTACATGTAGTCGATGTAACAGGCTTCATCGATCGCCTTAAAAGTACAAACTATTGGTGCAGACATTGAATCTAAATGCTTCCTGGAAGCCTTATAACCAGCTCAGCACAACTGGTCTGATTTAACACATGCTGTCCTGATTTTGATTATCATTTTCAGTTTATGGCCGGATAAGTACTTTTTAATTAGTTTCAAACAAAGCCAACTAATGATAAGAATCGTCCTTATTGAGGAAATGGTGATGACAGGGGAGGACAAGGCAGGGGCGAAATGAGGCTAGAGCAAGATCCAAGAAAAGTGAAAAACGCCCTTTCAATCTGTGTATCCAAAGGCGGGATCATTTTAATGATGCTCACTACCTAACTTTCCTTAATTCATGCTTTACAACAAAGCTAGAAACCGGTAAAATCATCTCTTTTAACAATGTTTACTCACCCCATGACCTACTGGTATATCCGCCAAAAATATATTTCCCAACCCTTATTATTGTTACAGTCGGTTTCTTGCCATCACATCGTGAGTGAAATGTTCTTGCAGCCCAGCCGTCCACAGATGCATGCCAACAGCGCTTCCAGGCAGAATTCGCGCTTCGTGCCACAGGCGACAGCCAGCTTCTTAAAGTCCGCAAGTAATTTATGCTGTTTCCCACAATAACAGAGTCTTCTAAATCTGAACAAATAAAGACCAGCATTAAAAATGGCCTGCTGACAATTGATGGCTGCCGTCAATATAAGTTAAGTTGACTTTTCAACGATATAAATACACAAGACTGAGATAGTAAAATGTGGACCTTATTATACCCTGCGATATGACAGGCAGGCCCACCTTCCATACTTTTTTCACAGTAAACTTGCATAAGAATCTGTTGATTAAGAATCCCCTGGCAACAGCTTGCCACTTTAATTTCCAAAAATACAAGAACCAGTTTAGCCAAGCAAGATCAAGTAGCTTATGCAGCTATTTTACTGTTTAAGATATGAACAATTTTATGAAGGAGAGATAACAGCTAGATGTCCCCAATAAGCGTATTGATTTCCTTACGTTAGATCTTCTGACACACGAATAGGTCTTTCTCGTTTCGTTTATTCATTCATTCATTCATTCATTCATTCATTCATTCACTCACTCACTCACTCACTCACTCACTCACTCACTCACTCACTCACTCACTCACTCACTCACTCACTCACTCACTCACTCACTCATTCATTCATTCATTCATTCATTCATTCACTCACTCACTCACTCACTCACTCACTCACTCACTCACTCACTCACTCACTCACTCACTCACTCACTCACTCACTCACTCACTCATTCATTCATTCATTCATTCATTCATTCATTCATTCATTTATTCATTTATTCATTCATTCTTGTGGGTTATTATGATCAAAAATTTCAACATCAAGGAGTGTATAACTTTGAGATTGTAAATTTAAGTATAACAAGTCATACTGTACCAAGCTGTACAGTCAACTCTCTGTAAACCGTTCTTTGGACCGATCGTCACTGTCGTAAGCAAAAATACTCTGGATAGCCTACAGAGGTGTCCGTGTATAGAGAGTCACGGTAACGTGACAGCAAGAATTTTAAAGCTGAATATTCACAATGAAAACAGGCCTGTTTCACTTAACTTGTACAGAACAATGCACTGCATGCTACCAGAATGTTGACTAAATGTTAACTTTGTACTCTCGTAGACTCCACATGATGCAAGTCTTCAGTTACAGTCGACTCCCGATAACTCGAACCTTCAAGGGAAATCGTAAAAGGTTCGACTTATCGGGAGTTCGAAGAAAATAGGCGAGAGTAACGTAAAAACAGTTCTTACTGCACAGTGAACATTTTAATCGCATTTAATTGCAGAAATGTCAAGTGAAAATTAAAAGATACTTCTAGATTATAAATCAGAACGTAACGTAACAAAACATAGCCTAAATAGAGCATGCGTTTCACTGTTTTGAGAAGAAAAGCTGCTTCACGTTTAATAGCCTGTGACAATAAACATCAGCCTCCACTAGTAAACTATACTCCTACAATATGTCAATTGGAAATCCAAAATTCAATGTTTCGGACGCCCGTAGACGGCTTTTTAAGGGCTCAAAACATGGTTCGAGTTATCGAGGGTGAAATTATATAGAAAATGAGCTGAGGGGAAACGAAAATTGGTTCGAGTTAGCGGGAGTTCGAGTTATCGAGGGTTGGAGTTACCGAGGGTAAAATTACAGTGAATGTATCCAGAGGAAATCTATTTTGGTTCGAGTTAGCGCGAGGTTCGAGTTAGCGAGGGTTCGAGTTATCGGGAGTCGACTGTAATTTTATTTCTCAAGAATCTCAAAGTTTGGTGAGGCGTTACGTGCTGGCCTCGTAGTGCTAAAAGTCACTGAAGAGTGCAATACAGTGAGAAAACCGTGTATAAGAACTTTTAAAAATTAAGAACCTGTTGAAAAGATAAATTACCGTATGGTTATCATCTAAACTGTATTCCAGATAATTATTTTTACAGCAATATATTCCACATGACATATGCTGATCGCTAGTGCCCCTATAAAATCAAGAACCTGTTAACTTAAGAACATACTGTAAGTAGCCTAAAATCCCACTAAATACCATTGCTATAAGAACCTCTTTAAGCTAAGTTGGGAAAAATCTAAGTTCTTAATCGCAGGTTTTTACACGTACGCACGCACGTAGTAGTTTAGAGCACAAAGAGGCTATAATCTATAGAGAAATTAGGGTAGATTTTCTTTTCAAAATCTGCGCAGCATCAAAAATTTCAAGTGGTTGGGAATTTCATTTTATTTATTTGTTCACAAGTAAAATGAGGGAGAAATATGTATTTATTTTTTCGCAAGTAAAATGAGGGAGAAAAGTGTATTACTTTAGGCTAATGAATAGATCAGGTTGAGATTAAAAGTGTGGCTTAAAAGCTCATACATAAATACGAACATCTCAGGTTACTGTGGTTACCAGAATGATTCGTTGTTTAAAAACAGAGCGTACCTAGCCTTTGTTGTCGAACGACTACGTTGATTCTAGCCCTCTTTGTCCCCATTAAGTTCGTTGCAATGCACTCGTACAAACCGCTGTCAGCAGGAGTCAGGTTCTTAATGGTTAGTGTCCCTTGGTTTACTTCAGTCTTCCCAGCCGGCAAAGGCATTCCCACTCTTCTCCAGTTTATTGTGGGACGAGGAAAACCTTCAGCTTGACAAACTACCTGATAGGTAGTGCGCTTTACTGGCGTGGCGAGTAATGGTGGAACTTTTGTGAAAACTGGAAGACCTGACAGATGATAAACAAGGTATTTTTAACAACGAATAGAGAACAATCCTTGTGCGGATCTTTTGGACGATGGGAGCAACAATTTTACAAGATGATACTAACTTTAAGTTGTCTTATTATATAGACATGAGTGTTCTACTGAAAAATATACCACTCGTAAAATTCCTAAAACCTACATCCGGGACCCGAGTGGTTTATTTTCCATAATCTCACACGTCCCTCTATTATTTTATCGATGTCATTTTGTCTATATAATAAAAAGAACATTACACGGCGGCTTTAAGATATGAATTTTATTTTCTCGTGGCAAAAACAATATTTCACTCACTCGCTGCGCTCGTTCGTAAAATATTGTTTTGCCACTCGAAAATAAAATTCATATCTTCGCGCCACCGTGTAATATCCTCTATATATTTTAAGTGGTATATAAATGTAAATATTTATAATTATCAGTTATTGAGTATTAACATTAGCGGCATATTAATTGTAGAAGTTGACAGCAATACAAAAAAAGGAAATAAATCGAACAAACAAAAGCAAAACACACACACAAAAAAAAAATTAATAATAATAATAATAAAACGAAAAGAATAAAAGCGATACGAAATAAGGTGGTTCAATCCTCTCCCTTTACAGGCGTCAATAATCATGACTAAGCAGCTCTTACCTCGAACAGTCAAGCTACCAGTGACGTCAGACGATCCAAGAATATTTTTGGGGTGACATGTGTACTGCCCAGCATCTCTGTATTTTAGATTCTTAACGATGAACTCCCCCACTTTAATCAAATACTTTGCTCCTGGCAGAAGTTTTTTGCCCTTGAATCGCCATTCGACGTTAGGTGGAGGATTTCCTCTAACCGTACAATAAAAAGCCATATTTCCTCCTGCATCATTGTTTCCCTTTTCTCCTCTCGGTCCCGGCATGCCGTTTGTCCCAAGATTTCCATTGTCTCCCTTTTCTCCTCTCGGTCCCGGCATGCCTTTTGTCCCAGGATTTCCATTGTCTCCCTTTTCTCCTCTTGTTCCCGGCATGCCATTTGTCCCAGGATTTCCATTGTCTCCCTTTTCTCCTCTCGGTCCCAGCATGCCTTGTGTCCCAGGATTTCCATTGTTCCCCTTTTCTCCTCTTGGTCCCGGCATGCCTTTTGTCCCGGGATTTCCATTGTTTCCCTTTTCTNCTCTCCCTTTACAGGCGTCAATAATCATGACTAAGCAGCTCTTACCTCGAACAGTCAAGCTACCAGTGACGTCAGACGATCCAAGAATATTTTTGGGGTGACATGTGTACTGCCCAGCATCTCTGTATTTTAGATTCTTAACGATGAACTCCCCCACTTTAATCAAATACTTTGCTCCTGGCAGAAGTTTTTTGCCCTTGAATCGCCATTCGACGTTAGGTGGAGGATTTCCTCTAACCGTACAATAAAAAGCCATATTTCCTCCTGCATCATTGTTTCCCTTTTCTCCTCTCGGTCCCGGCATGCCGTTTGTCCCAAGATTTCCATTGTCTCCCTTTTCTCCTCTCGGTCCCGGCATGCCTTTTGTCCCAGGATTTCCATTGTCTCCCTTTTCTCCTCTTGTTCCCGGCATGCCATTTGTCCCAGGATTTCCATTGTCTCCCTTTTCTCCTCTCGGTCCCAGCATGCCTTGTGTCCCAGGATTTCCATTGTTCCCCTTTTCTCCTCTTGGTCCCGGCATGCCTTTTGTCCCGGGATTTCCATTGTTTCCCTTTTCTCCTCTCGGTCCCAGCATGCCTTGTGTCCCAGGATTTCCATTGTTCCCCTTTTCTCCTCTCGGTCCCAGCATGCCTTGTGTCCCAGGATTTCCATTGTTTCCCTTTTCTCCTCTTGTTCCCGGCATGCCTTGTGTCCCAGGATTTCCATTGTTTCCCTTTTCTCCTCTCGGTCCCGGCATGCCTTTTGGCCCAAGATTTCCATTGTCTCCCTTTTCTCCTCTCAGTCCCGGCATGCCTTTTGGCCCAGGATTTCCATTGTTTCCATTTTCTCCTCTCGTTCCCGGCATGCCTTTTGACCCAGACTCTCCCTTGTCTCCCTTTTCTCCTCTCGGTCCGGCAGGACCCGACGTTCCTGTTTTTCCGCTCTTTCCAGGATGTCCAATGGGGCCTTTAGGCCCTTTCTTCCCCTTTACTCCCCTCCTGCCACGTTGTCCTTTTGCCCCTGTTGGACCAGGGAGTCCGGGGGGGGGGGCCTGCAGGACAGACCTTTTCACTTGACTTACAGTACTTGAGGGGTATAAGTTGTTCAGACTGTTTTGAGAATTCTTTTTTTACGTCATCAATTGTGACACTATTGAAAGTGTCATTTAAAACCTGTCTTCGGTTTCTGGGTCTGGTGGTTGTTAATGCCATTTTTGACCACGGTATTGCTGCAGTAAAAAATGTTATAGAAATTAATAATATATAGATTTAACCAGGGCTAATAGCGAAGATCTCGTTAATATACTTATATAAGTTATAAACAAAGGAAAAAATAAAATAAAATAGTGTAATGCTAAGTTAAACGGCGAAGGTAATGAGAACAGCAACAAAATCAATAAATCTAATTACCCAAAAAACAAACTTTACGATTTTTCGTACATTTCTTTGCGGTTGTTTTGCACGACTTAAACGTGAAAATTCCTAGTTACCCATTGTTTTTATGGAGGGAATTGTCGTATGTGCTCACAAAAAATTTTGTTGCTTGTACTCTTGCTCGCTTTTATTTTTTCACTGCCGCTCATTTTCACCTTGCTGACCGCTCCTTGCTTGCTGCTAGCATTTCTCATTTTCTCACCGCCGCCATGAAATTTCATGTTTTTCTTTAAACGAAATTCGTCTCCTTTGTTTTTAATCTTTTTCTCTGTTATCTACGTAAGTGTAGACATGAAACATAAGTAAATAACGTCGGAAAAGACTGGACTTTGTTGATGTTTTTTTTCGCTGTAAACATAGCTTCGAGCGTACAAAAAGTCAGCTAAAGTAAACCACGCAATCACGCTGTTTAAACACCATGAAGTCTTTTCTTGCCTTCAAAGTCATCAGCACTTGGATATTCGTGTATTTTCAAAAAGGTTTTACTTTGAAACTTTGGCAAAACACCCAGTTCACGACAGCGATTTTGTTCGGCTTTATATTCACCGCCTAGCTCGGTGAATATAACGTCATAGTCCGAGATAGCTAACCAATCAGATTGCTTGAATTACCAAGATCACTGAGTGTGTATATACTAAATATATATATATACACCCGTTTTCAAAAAGGTTTTCATACAGAGAGATATATAGATAGATATATACTTTTGTTCTCTTGCACGTGCGCCCGTGTGTATTTTTCACTTGTTATTGTCCAACTTGTGAAAACCTCGGTTAAACGATAAATTTTTTCGTCGTCGGGTTTTTTTGCTCCAATTTGACATGTCGTTTTGAGTTTTTTTTTTTT